CACACATGCACACACACGCTCCTCCGTTACCACAAATATGCACACGCCAATGACATAATACATATAAAGCATTCGGTTATGTGTAGAGCCAAGCAGAGCCATGGGCTACGCATTCAAACATGCACACAAACATGGAAATGGCCGAATGGATTGATGATGAGGTGGCAGGTGAAGAGAGCTATTGTTAGCTTTCTGAAGGTTCACAGAGGAACTGATCTTTTTTGGAGGGAAGTTGCTGGCTGCTCAGCTCTCGGGAAACTTGCTTGTTTTGAGACATCTACAGGGAGGGGTCTTTTAGGTAAGGCGGCACCAAACAATTGTCCCTGGAAAGAACTGAGGCTGCCCTTAATCTGTTTCAGATGCTGAAGACGGGATGTTAAGTGCTTTCCTTAGGGTTGAACCAAACCCAGCACTATTGCTTCATAGCTCTCTGGCCTTATACTTGTGACTCAACCTCTCTGTGCTTCCTCGTTTGTAAAGTGAGAGTGATAACGGTACCTCCAGCCGGGCGCGGTGGCTGACGCCTGTAATCCCCGCACTTTGGGAGGCTGAGGCGGGCAGATCACTTGAGGTCAGGAGTTCAAGACCAGCCTGGACAACATGGTGAAACCCTGTCTGTACAAAACCACAAAAATTAGCCGGGCGTGATGGTGGGTGCCTGTAATCCCAGCTACTTGAGAGGCTGAGGCAGGAGAACTGCCTGCACCTGGGAGGCGGAGGTTGCGGTAAGCCGAGGTCACGCCATGGCACTCCAGCCTGGGTGACAGAGCGAGACTCCGTCTCGAAAGAAAGAAAAGAAAAGAAAAGAAAAGAAAAGAAAAGAAAAGAAAAAAAAAGAAAAGAAAAGAAAAGAAAGAAAAAGAAAGAAAGAAAGAAAGAAAGAAAGAAAAGAAGAAAGAAAGAAAGAAAGAAAGAAAGAAAGAGAAAGAAAGAAAATGGTACCTCCCCCTAGGGCTGTTGGAAGAAGCGCCTGGCACATGGTAAGGACTGTCTAAATGTTTGCTGTTACTATTATTATTGTTGTTATCTGGTTCTTATGAGAAAGTTTGAGACTGGACTTGGTCACTGAGTACTTTTGCCTTCATGGGTCCCTTTCTCGATTAAAAAAATATTAAAAACTGGCTGGGCATGCTGGCTCGTGCCTGTAATCCCAGCTACTCAGGAGGCTGAGGTGAGAGAATCTCTTGAGGCCAAGAGTTCAAGACCAGCCTGGGCAACATGGTGAGACCCTTGTCTCTAAAAGAATTTTAAAAATTAGCTGGATGTGGTGGCACAGTCCTGTAGTCCCAGCTACTCTAGAGGCTGAGGCAGGAGGACTGCTTGAGGCCAGGAATTTGAGGCTGCAGTAAGCTATGATCGTGCTACTGCATTCTAGCCTAGCTGACATAGAGAGACCCCCAGCTCCAAAATATAAAACATAACAAAATGAAAAATTATGTTTCCTTCAAAAAATAATAAAAATTATGTTTTATTGTATAGTTATAAAATGCAATCCAGTTTGGATCCTTTTCATTTTTTTCCTACTGATTTTAAAGAAATCAAAATATTTTTGTGGGCCCCTAAAGGTATCATAGGCTCCAGGCCCTGTGGCCCCTCCGTGTGTGAGGTTCTAAATGACCCAAGAGCTGAGAGTTTGGGGAATGGTCTGTGGATCCCCCTGAGCACCTTCTCTGGGCCCTGGAGGTGCCTTTAGCTGTGTCTCAGGGCAGTTAGGAGAAACTTGCTCTTCCTGAAAAAGGTGGACAGGTGTAGAAGCTGCCTCCAGGCACATGGGTGGCTGGTGCCAGCCCCTCCTGACCCCAGGCCTGGTTCAGGGAGCAGCCAGTCAGGTGACACCATGATCGCAGTGGCTCAAACTGCCTAAGTTACGGTGGTGACGCTGGGTTGGCTGACCTGATTTTCTGGCCTTGATCACCGAGACTGAAGAAGTACCCCAGGGGGCCTATGGACATCTGCAGACGGAAGCCCTGGGAGGGCAGATTTCCTGTGACGGGAGGGGTCAGGGCTTGAAGTTGGATTAACTTGCATATTTATTTATTTATTGAGGCAGAGTCTTACTCTGTCGCCTAGGCTGGAGTGCAATGGCACAGTCTCAGCTCACTGCAACCTCTGCTTCCTGAGTTCAAGCAATTCTTGTGCCTCAGCCTCCTGAGTAGCTGGGGGTACAGGCACGAGCCACCACACCTGGCTACTTTTTATATTTTTAGTAGAGACAGGATTTCACCATGTTGACCAGGCTGGTCTCCAACTCCTGACCTCAAGTGATCCATCCCCCTTGGTCTCCCAATGTGCTGGGATTATAGGCGTGAGCCACCATGCCTGGCCTAATTCACATATTTAAAGAAGTGACTGTTTTGTTTGCTGGGGCTGTGAGTCACTGACATACCGAATACCCAGAAAACATCATTCATTCACTCATTCATTCCTCCCACATTCACTGAGCAACTACTGTGTGCAGGCCCCATGACAGGACTGGGTACATACAGATAATAAGACCCGTTCAGCTGTGGGGAGCTCCCTGCTGGACAGGGTGAGTGGTCCTTGGAGATAGTCTCCCATGGAGAGATGGGCCAGGGCGTGGAGTTCTGGGTGAGAAGAGACTGGTTCTGGTGGGGGTCTGATGGGGGCAGGCGGGGAAAGGATTCCTTCTGTACCGAATCCATGTCCAGAATGAATCTGAGGCCTCGAGGCTGAGAGAATGCTGGAATCCACCCCCGTCCCACTGCTGAACCCTGGGATTTTCAGGGCCTGGAGTGGGGTCTCCCAGGACCCAGGACTTCAAAGTCCTTGAGCCACTTGGGGCCAGACTGTGCTGGAGAAATAACCAGGGCCGACTTGGCAGAGGCAGCTGGAAAGGGGTGGGGGACGTGGTCAGGTGGTGCCCTAGGGCCTCAGAAGGAGCAATGCCAAGGTGGGGGTGGGGCGGGTAAGAGCCTGAGAAAAGAGGCAGGTGTCACTGACGGGGCTGGGATTTTGCGGCTGCTGGGACAGGACTCTCGGGCGGCAGCTGTTACATCTTGGGTGAGGCCCACTAAGGGGCCAGCTGAGGGGCTGGCAGCGCTTCTCCTCCAAACCAGATGGAAGCACTGGGGGTTAGAGAGGGATGTGGGGCCAGTGAGGGGTTGGCGTTCATCGAGGGGTTAACAGTTCAGAGAGAGAGGCTGGGGGTTCCATGGGGATTTGGAGCTGGGACTCAATGCAGGGAGGCTTAATGACAGGAGGGAACCTGGGAGGTTTTTTTTTTTTTTAGGTGACAGGGTCTTGCTCTGTCTCTCAGGCTGGAGTGCAGTGGCGCGATCATAGCTCACTGCAGCCTTGAACTTCTGGGCTTAAGTGATCCTCCTCCTGAGCCTCCTGCGTAGCTGCCCAGCTAGTTGTTTTAAATTTTTTTTCTAGAGATGAGGTCTCGCTATGTTGCCCAGGCTAGTCTTGAACTACTGGACTCAAGTGATCCTTCTACCTCGGCCTCCAAAAGTGCTGGGATTACAGGCATGAGACACTGTACCCAGCCCTGGGGGGGTTTAAGGAGTCCTCTCTCATGGTGCTGGGATCACTCCAGGTCCCTTCCCGCCTCAACTTCCTTTCACTGCCAGGGCTGGGAGTTGGGGTCTTGTGCAGGCGAAGGCTGGGGGCTCCTGACAGGCTGAGACCCTTGGTGGAGGGCCCTGGCATGGGACAGCTGGCACTGGTCTCTCACGGTCCAAAGACTCGAGGCCCATGGCCATAACCGTTAGGTGCTTCCTTTTCAGTATGATTTGTTATTATATTTTGTAGAGATCAGGTCTCACTGTGTTGCCCAGACTGGTCTGGAATTCCTGGCCTCAAATGATCTTTCCACCTTGACCTCCCAAAGTGCTGGGATTACAAGTGTGAGCCACCGTGCATTCTTTCAGCGTCCCTGTCCCTTGCTCCTGAAGCCCTTTCCAGCAGGATGTCAGGGATGCAGATGTTCCTCCCTTGGGGAAGGCTTTTTGAAAGGCAGTGTGGAACTGAAAGTCCCAAGCTGGTGGTGGTGTACAGTCTCAGTCAGACCCTGGCTAGCACGTGGGGAGGACACTGCCTTCCCCAGGCATCCCGGCTGCTGTAGTACCACCCCTGGCCACCTGGGGGCAACAATGCCCAGCCTAATCCAAACTCCAGCTCCCACACCCTCCTGGGAAGACCCCAGACCCTTGCCCATACTCGCATGGAATAGATGGGGAGACTGAGACCCAGTGGGGACCTGATGTGTCTAAAGCCTCACACAGAGAGCTGGTGGTGTCCGCCCCATCACCCCTGGGGTTTTCCAGCCTGTGGAAGACTTTGGGTGTCTCCCTGGCAGGTGTGCTTGGGGGTCTCTGGGGTGCACAAGCCATAATTCCCAGGGCCTTAATGCCACTGCTGGCCACCATGTGGCCTTGTGGAGAGGGGCAGCCCCTCCTCTCTGCTCACCTGGCAGGTTTGCGAGCCCTGATCTCCACAGCCATGTGCCACCACGCCCGGCTAATTTTTGTATTTTTGGTGGAGATGGAGTTCCACCATGTTGGCCAGGCTGGTCTTGAACTCCTGACCTCAGGTGATCCACCCGCCTTGGCCTCCCAAAGAGCTGGGATTACAGGCGTGAGCCACAGCGCCCGGCCGCGTCCCTGTTCTTTTCTACAAAAGAGGAGTAAAAATATCACCTCTTGCATGGGCTGGTTGCAAGGATTCAAATGAGTTAATAGACACAAAGCGCCTAGACTGGTGCCTGGTGACAGCGTCTGCGCATCCAACACCAACCTCCTCCACGGGGGCGGGTCCCCTCTCCTCCCAGGCTCTGACACCACTGTCCCCACACCTAGTGACCTTGTCATTTCCCTGCCCACTCACCATCAAGAACCATACACACATAAGAATATAGAATTTTATCTTCTTTTAGTTAAAAAAAATAATTGTACCATAGAATGAACAAGTAGCCCCCCTTTTTTTTTTGCAGGGGCGGGGAAGGGAAGGTGAGAAGGGGGAGAAAAAAAAGCAAAAAGCCCAAAGAAAAAAACATTTTATATTCATCTGTATAAACATATCCGCTAAGGCAAACACAATCCGGGGCCGAGGCTGCTGCGCTGCGCTCCGTGCCTCCTAATTTCCGCAGATTCTAAGGCCAAAAAATAAAACCTCTGCAAGTCCGCGTAGGTTCGAGGACTCCTGGGACATTTTACTAAAATAAAGAGTTATCGGGTTTAAAAAGCAATGACACCGTTATGACACACACTGAAAGTTGCATAACTGTGGCCTCGAGGGCCACTGACTTGTTTGGACTGAGTGATGGTCACAGTTTCACGACACAGCAACAGACACCACACACAGGCATATGTATGTCAGCAAGCACGTGGGAAGCTGTGGCCTAACTGGGCCGGGCATGACAGGCAGGTCGCTGGCAAGGCGGTGGACATCACTTGGGGAAGGATGGCAGGAAAGGGCTGGACAGGGCCCCGCTGCCCACCGCCTGGCGCATGCAAACACACTTAAAGCACTTCTCGGACACTTCTCGGAGAATCAAGATGAAGCGCTCATTTCCTTCCCTAGGAAGGCGCCAAGTCTTCCTCCCACCCCACTTTCTCCAGAGCCCCCTGGGACCCTCAGGTTGTTCTGCGTGGGTGCTAAGGAGCGGTGTCTCCGACCCTCAGAGCCTTCCCTGCCCAGGATCCCACGGCATGCCCGGCAGGGGGTGGGCGTGTGACGTAGATTGGCACAGCTGCCCCCACACCCTGCCTGGCTGGGCCCCAGAGATCTGGGGGTCTCCAAGTCAGCATGGGATGCTGGGGGCCTAGGTCCCTTCACCAGAACAGAAGCTCCCCACCCCCTCTCCCATTTCAGTAGATGGAAGAGGCAGAGGTGGAGGAAGAGCCCCTGGGGAGGGGTCCCCTCGTGCCTCCAATAAGCCCCTTGGGTCCCACTCTGTGGGGGCAGCCCTGATTCTCTCTCTTCTGCTGTCTCCCAGTCTGGGAAGGGGCTGGCAGGGGGCCCCGGGGGCGGTGCGGCCTGCTGGAGGAGGGCAGGGGTTCCCAGGTCGAGGGGATGGAGATGGTGGTGGGCAGGCACATGGGTCCAGGAGGGACCTAGTGCCACGAGCTGGGCCAGGGGCAGTGCTGGAGCAGACTGCGGGGCAGTCAGGGGTGCAAGACAGCCCAAGGATTGCCAGGGAGGGCCGGGCCAGGCAGGGCCGGGCCAGGCAGGGAGCCGGTGTCGCGGCCTCGCAAAGAGCAGAAGGGAGCGGGGAGGGGCCGGGCCACCTCCATGAGACCCCTGAACTTGCTCCATTCACAGACATTTTAGGTTTTTAGTAGTGGTCCCATCAGACAGAGGCAAGGATTCAGGCTCAGCCTCCCATGCGCCGCCCTCGCCCTCCGCGCTGGGGCCGGAGCAGGGCGGTCGGTGCAGCCCCCGCTACTTAAATGTGGACTGCAGCTCCTTGAAGGCCACTTTCCGCTGCTTCATCTCCTCCGCCTGCTTCTTCCGTTCCTCCTGCTCCGCCTTGATCTCCTCCTCGAAGCGGCTGGACATGTTGATGGCCTGGACCTGTGGGGGCATGGGGGTGAGAGGTCAGGGCTGGATGGTATATGTTGGGGGGGGGTCTCCGTGCTACAGCTGCTTTTTCTTTTTTAATTTTTTTGAGACGGAATCTCGCTCTGTCGCCCAGGCTGGAGTGCAACGGCGCATTCTTGGCTCACTGCAACCTCCGAGGGGTGCAGGAGGCACGGCCAGGTGGCAGGAGGCGGCCTGGGTGTGTTCAGGGAAGTGTGGCACAGTGCTGCAGGGAGTGGCGGCGACTGGCGGGGCGGTAGGAAAGCCGGGAACAAGCATCGGGCGACAGAGATACCTCCCCTCCGCCTTGCACACTCAGGTTCTCTTTTTTCTACCACCACAACCTGGCAGAGACAGGGATGGGGTTGGAGGCAAGTCCCTCTTGATCGGCTTCTGTGTAGTAAGAGCCTAGGTGGCCTCTCTGCCTGTTCCCTGGCTGGGAAGGCACCACTGGTTCCTGGAGCACACAGCCTGGTGAAAGAGGGCCAGGTGCTGTTTGCCCAGCTAGGCTCTCTTATCAACCAAACACCTGCCCTACTGGTCTCTGGGAACAGCGTGGGAGGAAGACAAGATGGGGGCTGGGGAGAGTGATCCCTGTGTTGGTAAAATGGGCTTTTCTTTTCTTTGGGATGGGTGTCATTGTTGCTCAGGCGCGATCACAGCTTATTGCAGCCTTTACCTCCTAAGGAGGTCTCAACCAATCCTCCCACCTCAGCCTTCCAAGTAGCTGGGACTGCAGGTGCATGCCACCATGCCTGGCCAACTTTTGTATTTTTTTGCAGAGATGTGGTGTATGTTTTCAGGCTGCTGTCGAACTCCTGGGCTCCAGCAACCCTCCCACATCAGCCTCCTAGAGTGCTGGGATTACAGGCGTGCGCCTCTGTACCCAGCCAAAATGGGTTTTTCCACACCTAAAGCTGCCTTGTGCAGCCCCTAAGACCTTGAACTGGCTGACAGTGCTGGTGACAGCAGCACAACACAGGGACCTGTGTCCCAGAACTCTATGTCTTGGACGCCTGAGCTTCTGAGTGAATGTCTCATTTGTGCACCTTTTCCAGGCTCCCCAGCTCCCTTCACCTTCTCTAGGTAAGTGTACTTTGAACACCTAATAGCAACCACGTACTGAAATGTGTCTTTACGCTGCAAACTGCTTACTTAATACTTTTAATAACCTCATTTTATAACCAAGGCTCAGAGAGGTTAAGTGACCCACCCACAATCACACAGCAGTAAGGAGCTGGGTCTCCAGACTAGGTCTCCTGGGTTCATAAACTTGCACCATTTGCTGTGCCCAGTCCCTCCCCCACATGTCCTGGCGCCACTGCAGAACACAGACAATGCCTGGAGTGTGAGGGGAGCATTTTTGTGAGGGATATAAATACTTCGCAAGCCAGTGAGTCTCAGTGGTTGTGTCCCTAGAATTGGTGTGCTCTTGGTCTCAAACTCCAAGAATGAAATCGCGGACACTTGTGAGTGTTACAGTTCTTAAAGATGGTATGACCGGGGTTTGTTCCTTCAGACTTTCATGTGTCTGGAGCTTCTTCCTTTCGGTAGGTTTGGGTTCTTCTTGTCTTCAAGAGTGAAATTGCAGAGCTGCGGGATGACTGTTACAGTTCTTAAACGCACCGTGTCTGAAATGCACCGTGTCTGGAATTGTTCATTCTTCCTGGTGTGTTCATGCTCTTGTTGGCGTCGGAAGTAAAGCCGCAGACCTCCGCAATAAGTTTAACGGCTCAAAAACACAGCATTCAGCCAGAATGATCAACATTTATTGCAGAGTAAAAGAATAAACCTTCCACACTTAAAGAGTAGATCTGATCTCGGTTGTTACTGGTAGCGCAGGCAGCCTGCTTTTATTCCCTTATCTGACCCCACCCACATCTTGCTGATTGGTCTATTTTACAGAGAGCTGATTGGTCCATTTTACAGAGAGCTGATTGGTCCATTTTGACAGAGTTCTGATTGGTGCGTTTACAATCCTTGAGCTAGACAGAGTCACAGAGTGCTAGTCCTCCAAGTCTGCACTAGGTTAGCTAGATACAGAGTACCAATTGGTGTATTCACAAATCCTGAGCTAGACACAGAGTGCTCATTGGTGCTTTTACAATCCTTGAGTCAGACACAGAGTCACAGAGTGCTAGTCCTCCAAGTCTCCACTAGGTTAGCTAGATACAGAGTGCTGATTGGTACACATACAATCCTCCCGCTAGATATAAAAGTTCTCCAAGTTCCCATTCGGTTTAGGAGTCTAGCTGGCTTCGCTCAGTGGATGCTGCATTGGGGCTGCAGGCGGAGCTGCCCGCCAGTCCGGAGCTGCGCCTGCACTCGTCAGCCCTTGGGCTGTCAATGGAACTGGGCGGCTTGGAGCAGGGGGCGGCACCCGTTGGGGAGGCTCAGGCCGCGCGGGAGCCCACCGCACCTAGGGGAGCTCAGACTTGACGGGCTGCAGGTCCGAGCCCTGCCTCACGGGGAGGCAGCTACACCCGGCGAGAATTTCAGTGCAGCGCCAGCGGACCAGCACTGCTGGGGGATCTGGCGCAACCTCCGCAGCTGCTGGCCCGGGTGCCAAGCCCCTCACTGCCCTGGGCCGGCGGTGCCGGCCCGCCGGCCGCTCCGTGTGCGGGGCCCGCCGAGCCCGCGCCTGCGCCTGCGCCTGCTGGAACTCGCACCGGCCCGCGAGCGCCACACGCAGCCCCGGTTCCCGCCCGCGCCTCTCCCTCCACACTGCCCGCAAGCAGAGGGAGGCGACTCCGGCCTCAGCCAGCCCAGTGAGGGGCTCCCACGGTGCTGTGGCGGGCTGAAGGGCTCCCACGGTGCTGTGGCGGGCTGAAGGGCTCCCACGGTGCTGTGGCGGGCTGAAGGGCTCCTCCAGTGCCGCCAGAGTGGACGCCGAGGCTGAGGAGGCGCTGACAGTGAGGGCTGCTAGCACATTGTCACCTCTCAGTTGGAAGTGACGCAGCACAGAAAAGATGGGTCTTGGGATTCCTGGAGGGAACACAGGGTCCTGGGGCCTTCTGTCCCACTGATGGGTGAGGGCTGGGGTGGAGGCGGATGGGCCAGCGGCCCCTGTGGGCAGTGGCCACCTCTGTGGCAGTAGAAGGTGGGGACTCAGAGGGTCAGGCAGGCCAAAGCTGCTGCAGTCCAGCCTCTACCTGGAGCTGGAGGGGCTCTGGGGACACAGCGGAGGCCTCTCCTGTCACCTCTGAACTTTGTTTGCTGCCTGCTGGAGGGCTGGGCGGGTGCCACATGACCACGGCGCTGTGCAGGGGCACCTGGTGAGGGACTCAGTCTTTCCTGAGCCAAGTCACGAGGACTCCCCTCCTCAGTGCCCCCCACGAAAGCAAAGCCCCTGCCGCTTTCTGACCCTGGGCTCCCAGGAAGGTCAGCGATGACAATCGGGCTCTGGAGACAAATTGCCTGGGCTCCTCAGCCACAAAATGCAGCATCTCTTAAGCTGGGGTACATGTGCCCCCCAGGGGACAACTGGCAATATCTAGAGATGTTTTTGGTTGTCATACCTGGGGCGGGGGGTGCCGGTGGTATCTGGTGGGTGGAGGTCAGGGAAGCTCCATAGCGCACAGGGTGGCCCCACCACAAAGAATGACCTGGCCGGCCAGGCGCGGTGGCTCACGCCTGTAATCCCAGCACTTTGGGGGGCTGAGGCGGGCAGATCGTGAGGTCAGGAGATCAAGACCATCTGGGCCAACATGGTGAAACCCCGTCTCTATTAAAAATACACAAATTAGCTGGGCATGGTGGCAAGCACCTGCAATCCCTGCTACTTGGGAGGCTGAGGCAGGAGAATCACTTAAACACAGGAGGAGGAGGTTGCAGTGAGCTGAAACCGTGCCATTGCACTCCAGCCTGGGTGACAAAGTGAGACTCTGTCTCAAAAAAAAAAAAAAAAAAAAAAAAATGACCTGGCTCCAAGTGCCAGTGGTGCTGAGGCTGAGAACCCTGCTGCAAGGGGGCCTCCCTCATGGGCTACTGTGAGGAATGACAGCCCATCCCTGTCAAGCACTCAGCACAGCTCCCAGCACACAGAGCTAGCTGCATAAATGGCCGTCGACGCCACTAAAACAAGATTGAATCACCTCCACTAATCTCCTGACGGCGCAGCGCTTTTTCTTTACAACCCCTGTGCCCAGCAATCCTCCAGGTCCGGATTAGGTCAGAAGGGCTGTTATCGGTGGGGCCACCAGCCCCCTAACCAGCAGGTCAGGGGTTCATGTCCCAGCCTCTGGGTCCCATGTCTCTCTCTCTCAGCCCCAGCTTTATCTATTATTCAAATGGATGGGTTTCTTCTGCAGCCAGGGGCAGCTCAGTTTCAGAGGAAGTGCAGATAAAGTGTCCAAACTTGGATGGAAACGTGGGCTGTGGATCCCTCTGTCTTTGGCAGCTCCCAGGCCTGGCTGGGCCGCAGCTCAAACCACGGTTTGAACGGCCGCCTCTATCAATCAAGGGCCAATCAATTACTGGGGCTGGGCTCCATCCAGGGCCAGCTCGGGCCCCCAGGGGGACAATATAGGAGCTGGCTGTGGTGCCAAAGAGTCCATCACCAAAAGGAGGTGACTGGGGCTGCGAGAGGCCAGGTGGTGGGGTGGGAGGTGAAGCCCCCAGAGGTAGCCGTGGAGGAGGCCATTCCCAAGAGACTCCTGGAGAATGGCCATCTGCCCGGTGCCCTGGGCTCTGATGTGGTCTAGTGCAGGGGATCAGCCAGGTTCCAGGGTCAACCTGATTGAAGATGGCCTTGAGGGTTTGTGGTTACATCAACTGTGCTGAGACTGACCTGGGTCCAAACCCCAGCTCTGCCACCTGCTGGCAGAATAACCCTGGTCAAGTCACCTAACCCCACAGACCTCAGTTTCCTCATCTACATCATGGAGATCAAAGAACTCATCTCAGGATGGAGGCAAGGATTAAAAGAGACGATATAAGCAGACTCTTAGCACAGAGCCTGGTCCACAGGAAGCACTTCATACACGCCTACTATGATACTAAAAACCAGTTATTATTATTTCTAACGTCCACCTTTAAGATTATTAAAGAGTAAATGAGGCTGGACGCCATGGCTCACACCTATAATGCCAGCATTTTGGGAGGCTGAGTTGGGAGGATCACTTGAGCCCAGGAGTTTGAGACCAGCTTGGGCAAGATAGGCAGACCACATCTCTATAAAAAAAATAAAGGGTCAGGCATGGTGGCTCACACCTGTCATCCCAGCACTTTGGGAGGCTAAGGCAGGTGGATCACCTGAGGTCAGAAGTTTGAGACCAGCCTGGACAACATGGTGAAGCCCATATCTACTAAAAAAAACCAAAAGAATTAGCTGGGCGTGGTGGTGTGTGCCTGTAATCCCAGCTACTTGGGAGGCTGAGGTAGGAGAATTGCTTGAACCCAGGAGGTGGAGGTTGCAGTGAGCCGAGAACGTGCCACTGCACTCCAGCCTGGGCATCAGAGTGAGACTCCATCTCAAAAAGAAGAGGATAACTGGGAATGAAGTTTGGATTAAGCAAACAGGACTGCCTTCTGTACTTGGGTACCTTCTAGTGAAATTTTAAGACCAAGCTTGCGCATCATCACCTCCAGGAAGCCATCCTGGATTTCTCCCGCCAGCTGACACTGGTTTAAATGTCCCGTTTCTCTGCTTCCGGTCCATATTTCTGTTTTCAAATGTATACTAGGCAATTTAATGATCTATTTACTGGTCTGTCTCCTGCACAGCTGGGGTCCCCCCATCCTGCATTCCCGGGTCTGGGTGGTGTTGGGCTCCCTGTAGCCCCCACTGCTTGTCAAGTAAGTCAAGTCTTTCCTGAGACTTGCCTTGGCATCACTGGGGTGTGGGAGTCACACCATGGTCCCCACTCCCAGGGGACAAAGTCTGGTGGAGAAAAAGGAGAACTCTTGGGCCAGTCTGAGCAGCTGCAGCCAAGGGCTCTCCAGCAAGGGGTCCAGGGGCTGGGCTGGGGGCACCTCCACAGAACAGGACATTCCCAGGAGCACGCCAGGCCAGAGGCCCCTATCACCAGGGTCTGATCCCCCTGCCATGTCCCTCCCTGGACACTGGGTCCCTCTCATCTCTGGCTACCCCCATCATCAGGGTCCGATCCTGCTGGCATGTCCCTCCCTGGACACTGGGTCTGTTTCATCTCGGGCTCCTCTTGGCCTCTTGTCAGCCTTGGGAGAATTCTCTTCTGCTGGATCAGGCATTGCCGGCTGTCCCAACTCCTTCCTCTCTCTGGGCCTCAGTTTCCCCACCTGTCTAATGCAATGAAAGCGTATCCAGCTCTGACCACTGTGATTCTTTGTAGGAACCATTGCCTTCTTCAAACGTGTGTCTCCTGAGGGTGATGCTGGGGTCTCCTCCTCTTCCTTTACCTTCACCATGCCCAGCACAGGGCAGGACACAGGGGCCGGCTCACTAAACACGTCTCAAAGCAGAGAGCCCCTGCCAACAGCAGATGTGGAGTCTGTGCTGCGGGGTGGGTTGGGGGGGTCCCGGCTGGGGAGCCCCTTCCCCAGGAGTGGCTGTCCCTGAGCTTTGGCCATCCTCCTGTGGGGTGGTCTCTCTGGCCTAGGGGAGGCTGCTCTTGGGGAGACCCTGTCTTCCACCTGCAGCTGGGGGCCGTGAGGACCTGCCAGGCCCCTCGGTGGAGGTAGGATCAGAGAAGCGAGTGATTTCATCAGCGTCTCACCTGTTCACAGCTTGTGAGATGGAGTGGGGAAGGTGTCTGATGTGTCCTTAACTCCCATCCCCTCCGGCTTCATGCAAGACTCCCTGGGCTCACCACCCCCAGCACCCTGCCTCCCATTAATGCCCCAGGAGGCTCCTTCCTTGGCCCTCTCTCCGGGCCTCCGTTTTCCCACCTGTCTAATGCAGGGTGGGGGAAACTGGCTGG